GGTGTCACTGGGCACAGTGATGAGATCTCACACAGAGAGAGGATCTTCTCTGGTGTCACTGGGCACAGTGATGAGATCTCACACAGACACACAGCAGTAAACATACACTAAGTACCAGGTCTGTGTTAGTCTTGCTCTGCCATTGTTTATCAATTTTTTTATCTGCTTTTTTTTTGCTAACTTGATAAAAAGTAATAGATTTAAATTTCCGTTGTAAAGAATATGGCATAATAATTTCTGATCATTTCTGTACTTTCCTTTGGCACACTTACTGCTGTACAGTAATGAAATTAGCAGTTATAGTATTTCTGTAAATCAATGTCACCCTTGGAAGGCGCTGATACTCACCAGTTGAGTTTGCCCGCGTTGTGATGCACCACTAGGTGGCGCTTCTCCCATTTCTCCCACAAGTCCCTACAGGGTGTCTGCCATGCAATTCTGCATATTGGTGGTCATTGTTAAATTGATAGACCACCGACAGCATGGGGGGGAGTCTTTCTGTTACCTGATACCCTCCCCTCCAGGTAAGGGCCCACACCTGAAGGGGGGGTCACTGGCTCCCCGACATTAACCTGATTTGGAGCTGCTTCCATCGTTTTTGTATCCCGGCCCCTTCATCAGAGCTCAGTTTCGTCTTTCTTTGGCTGTAGTTTTGTTTACTGGGCCTGGTCCTCATGTGGGATGGGTGATATCGTGGCTAGGGCCATCTTTGCTGGTGTCCCAGGCCCCCCCCCCCCCAATCACACTGTCACCTTGCGCATTGAGTAATTTTACCCTGAGGTCGCTCCACTACTTACCAGTTTCTCCGTTTCCGCTCCACGTGTTACATTTTTGCTCCTTCTTAAACTTTCTTCCAGACTCCTTTGTCAAAGGCACTTCGAACCCAGGCCTGCGCCAGACCGCCCTGAGTGGTGCCTGCGTCGGTATGGTGGGGGCCCGTATTTACAGCCCCCCCCCCAGCTCATCACGGGCCCCGTCCGCCTCACCCCCTTCTCCTGGGCTGCTTCTGAAGCTGCCCCTCCTTACTCCTTGATGAGCGGGCAGTAAACACAGCAGAAACGAGACAGACGGAACCTCTTAGAGCTGTCGTGCTTAAACGGCTCTTTCTTCTCCACCTGAAAGGCCGCTTCCCCTCTTTTTTCCGGATTTGCGGCTGCGGCTCTCTGAATGCTAATTTATATCTATTAAGAGGAGTCGCTATCCTTCCCGTGCTCTCATTTAAATGCGGGGCTCGGGGGAGGCCTCTTAATTCCTTTATGGGGGGAATTCAAGACCCCCATACTTCAAAAAAGTATAAATCATACTCCCAAATGAAGCGAGGAGACGGGAATTTTTGACGGAGAGCCGCCCCTCTGATGTGTCCCGTCGGAAGCCGGAGCGAGAGGCTCGTCCCCCACCAGCCGCTCGGAGAGACGTGGGCACAGGTCCTGTCTGTCTGCCTCCTGGCCAACCTGATCCCCCCCCCCCCCCCCCCCACCCCACCCTCCCAACTCCGCCATTGCCGAAAACACTCATAGACCCTCAGACGCATCCCTCCAAATTCTCCCGACGTCTTCAGCTGAGCAATCTATGGCTTGTTTGGCAAACGAGGTATTAAATGACATTTAGGAGAAATAAACAAATAAACTAGTAGGAAATGTAACAAAGGACTTTACACAATTTACACAATCTCTCTGGAGATGGGCGTCCCGCTGTCGGCCTCTCTGTGCCGGAACCCCGCTCGGACCTCTCTGACGGTTCTGGTGCCGGAATCGGCCCTGGAACAGCGGCGTCGGCGTGGGCCTGGCGGGTTTTCGTTTGCACTTTTCGTCTGCGTCTCAAGCGTAAATAAAAGCTGTCAGCTGCCGTAAAGAGGCCCAGCTGAGGCTGGGGGTGGGGGTTATGTGTTATTTATCCGTGCGACGCCGTGTGAATGAGGAGAGCGGCTGGAGAGCGACGCCCCCCGAGGGGGGGGGGGGGGGCACCGCACCACGACTTTAAAATGCATAACCGGTTCCCGTGTGAGTGTGGCGTTCTCAGGTATCGCTATCGACTCCTGTATCTGTAAATGGCGTGTGGCGTGAGATAAATCAGGCGGCGGCTCTGCCCTCGCTGCTCTCCACTTTAATTGTGAGATCTCAGTGTCAGCAGTTAGTATATTGGTGTGAGTGGCCTATTGATTATTGATTTGGTGGCATTGAACGCTCTTCCCCCGGCGACTCTAATTCTTTCTGATTCATTTGAATACCCCCCGTCCGTCTCCAAATCCCTCTCGCACCTCAGGCGCCTGGCGGCCTAATGAAAATGGATGGAGGTTTTCGGTGGAGCCGAGGGGGGTGGTGGGGGCGGCAGAACGTGCTCCGGCCCCCCCTCCTCGAGATTTATTATTTTTAATTGATGTATCTGCTCGCGGGCGCGAGCGGCCTGAATTAAACAGTGACCTCGTGTCAGCGCCGTTTCACTCCTTGCTTGCGGGGGGTCGTTGCGGGGGGGGGGGGGGCGGGCATCGGGGGCTCAGAGGCTGAGGTGCTTTTCTGTGGAGACTCGACGTTCATCTTGCTTGTCTTTGCCGCGTGTTCTCCGGTATTTCAGTAACATCATATAATTTTAATAAGATGATTTAAAATTAAATAGCTGCAGTTGGAATCCTTTTCTCAGCGACTTGTAACCTGTAAGAGCATCTCTATTAATCGAATAAATCGATGCTCTTCACAGTGTCGGCGGTGGGCTGGCCGGCTCTGCAGGGTGTCCTTTGCCTCCTGCCCTGTCTTTCCTGGTACTGCTCCCAGTATCGGATGGTGGACGTCTGGTGTTTATAAACATACCCTGTGTGTGTATCTTATGGTAGCGCCTCCCAGCTGGCCCATAGTTCCCAGTGCTCACAAACACCTGCCCTGATGTTACTGGTGCTGTTCAGGCCTGACTTGTTCTTATGGTTACCCTCCTGCCCCGGTGGGTCTTACTATATGGAGCCGGAGGTAGAAGGAGAAGCCTGTGCTGCATAGGTGTGGGGGGGGTGGGGGGTGGCTGTATCTCTCAACTCAGACAGAAGGGCTGAGTTCAGCTTAGCCTGGGCAAGACGATAAGGTGCATGGAGGCTGTGGAGCTCCTTACTGGGTACCGCTAGGGCCGCCCGAACTCCCAACCGCATTGGGGTGAGTGACTCGGGCCCCCGGGCCCCCAAGGTGGGAGGGGGGTGGCCCCAGGGTGAGGGTGAAGACGGGCCCCAGATCTCCCGGCCGGAAACGGAAAGTTGCTGCTAATCCCAGCGGCCACACGAAGCGAGACGACGAGCCGCTTAATCTCCGCACAGCTGCAGGATTAAAAACTTCGTTTGTGAAGATTTACCGTGGCCCGTCGGTGTCGGGGGGGGCGTGTTGGAGGGGGTCCGGAATCTGGCCGCTTCATCAGAGGCGCAAATGGCTGGTTATACGCTGTCGGACAGAGGAGCGGAGCGGCGATCGATAGGCCTGTGATTTACTAACTGGCCTGCAGGTAATCGATAGGTATAAAAATAAATGAAATATGCATTAGGGGCATTTTATTAGTGGAGAGTAGCTAGCAGGGAGTCACAGTCAAGCCGTTTATTTTTATACCTATTGATTAAACAACATGCAGGCCCTGCCGCTATCTCCGGCTCTATCCCCCCCCCCGCCCCACTGATTTACGCGTTTCGGGATCTGGGCGATGTGCGGCCGTTTAAAGGCCTGCTGTGACAGCGGCCTGTCTCCGCGTACTCGGATCGGCGTGCTGCCTGGCCGCTGCCTTTTGGTGTGGCACGGCACCCTCCGTTATAAATTCAGTTCTTATCACATTTTCATGCTTTCTGTGTCCGAGCAGATTGTAAGGCAAGGTCTTGCTAGGGGCCTCATCTAGGGCCTCACGTATACGACTTTTAATTGGTTAATCTGTGCCTGCACTGATAGGGCTCAGTCCCCCCGTACCCCCCATACCCCCCTTGTCACCTCCCCTCTGCTGCCCCTTACCATCAATCCGCAGACTCCAGGGACCAGCAGATCCTGCTTTCTTGATTATACATTACTTTGGATAAAAGCATCTAATAAATAAGTGTAAAAGTATGCGTAAATAAGTAAATGAAGGTTAACCTTGCTGGGATCTCCGTGGAAAGGCACAGCTGACCTCGACTGCCGTTAGTCATGTGACCCAGCTCAGGGCCATCTCATTGGTGTTTCATGCCCTCCCCCCCCATAGGCAGACCAGCGTTCACCTGGGGCTGCTGTGCACGAGTGACATCAAGAGGAGGCGCAAGACCACGGCAGTGCCCGGCTCAGCAGCAGGTACCCAACAGTGGCGTACATGTGACACACCTCTCAACCTATCAGCGTCAAGGAAGTCAACCTGTAGGCCACTTCTCAAAAACATTCACCAGCTTTTCTTTCATCAGGCGTCTCATTGTCATCTTTAGCAAATCAGAGGCTCTGATGTCACTCCTATATGCAGGCACTGGCTGATGAGTTTCCCCAGCACCTGAAAGTCCCTGAAAAATGCACGTCTGCTTCAGTTCTGTGTCCTGTATCCCTTCCCCTTCCCCGTTTCCCCTACAGCCAACCTTTAACCAGGCGTCCATCATTCTGAAAGTTCGGCCATTCATTTGCGGGACAGGGGGAGGGCATGCTGGGAAAACGGCGGTAGTCATGGTCTCGCTTGATGGCCCTCTTGCTTCGGTTGGGCTGCTCTTTTTCATTAGGCTGATGGACCCCCACAACCCCCCCCCCTCCCAGCCCGTCATCGCGCGATTGGAGTCCGAAGTGGCCGGTCCACCTTGCCGTTGCTGCCACGCCCCCTTCCGTCTGCACAGCCGCTGTTTGTCATTTAAATAACAGATGCCTCCGGCCTGCTGATTTAGTGGGGGCCGCTGGCCCCTGATGTGTATTAATACGGCCGCGCGGCACACTGTACTGGGCCCCATCACTCATTTGGATAAAAGAGGTGGAATTTAAAAACTGCCCGTGTTTTACTGGGATACGGATCACATTCATTTATTGTGCTGAGTGATGGAGCGCCTCGCTGCCGCGTCCTTCACCTCCCTGCGCCACGCCACTTCCAATAAAGCTAAAAAAAGACGTGCCGCTGGCCCCCGGCGACCCCCGTTCTCAAAGGAGCCAGCCGACCCCCCCCCTCCCCAAAAGCTGCCTGATCTCCTTCCCTCCACTGGCCTGAGCTGCAAATTTGTGCAAAAAAACATATACCGTTTCCCCCACACAGACCCCAAACAAGCAACCCCCCCCCCTTAGTTTGTAATGGTGAATTAGCTGTGGTCTCTCCTTCTGTCTTCCCCGTTTTTCCCATCTTCCCGGCCCGGAGTGGGCTGAACCTTGTCCGGTGTGATTTATCATGCGCTGGGATGCA